CCATTCATATATTTAAAGCTAAGTATGGACCTGTTTCTTTAAAGTCACTTATATGCTTAAAGATTAACATGTGATTAAGTATCCTGATGAATGCAAAACATGATAGCTTGAAATGAGAAACAAAGACTACATCTAGACGGAGTCAAGGAAGAAAATGACTGAGTTCCCTTCAAATTCCATCACTGCATTCCATTTTTGTCAGTTTTTGACTCTGAAGACTGGAAAGCTATTGGTACTTGAGGACACACAAAGCAAACGGAGTTCAATGACTCTCTCATGTGTCTGCACAAGTTCTTAAGAGCACAGTTTCAATTAGAACCAATTTTATTTCTCAGGAAAACCTTTGTTCTCTTTCCTCTTTCAAACTCTTTCTCTTAAACCTTTCCCGTAAATCTCCTATGTTTTGGAAAGCTTGCTCAAGGGGTCTTAAAGATTCAGCTATTTTTTCCTTTATCTGTTCCAAATCTAAAGCTGTCGACAACCATAACAATGCCTGAGGCCAACTACAGTAATCAGAGGCATGACTTCTTCACACAGAACGACCTGAGCTGATTTCAATCTAGCTCTCTTAGGTACTGGTATCAGTGAAGTGGCAGTAGTACAGCCTGCCTAAGCCTACCCAGAACCACAGACACACAGCAAGTGCAGCCAGTGCTCTCACCATTTCACTGCTATCAGCATCTGGGGTAGCTCAGGTATGTTCGCACATGCTTTAGCAGTATTTCTGACCACAGAGCAGACACCACCCAGCTGCCTTTCAAGCTTTAAAAGATAAAGGTTAATATGAAAAATATTTCTGTATCATACTGCTCTGTTAATGCATTTTTTAGATAGCTTTTCCTCTGTAGGTTTTTCTTCCCAACCATAACCTCTCTCCAGCTTATCTTAAAGGAATGAGTTACACTTACTCTAGAATGCACACACATAACAGTCACCTACACTTCTTCTAAGAATGAATTTCATTGTCCTGGCCTGGCTCTGGTGGAAGTTACTGATTGAAAAGGGTCTTTTTTTGATAAAATGTAATTACCGTTAGAGACTGTTTTTGCAGAAAAGCCTGATGCTCATATACTTTTGGTTCTGAAACCCTTCGTTTTAAATAAACTATAATTAACTATCCGTGAATAAATTTTCAGTGTATTACTGACTTTCTTTTCAGCACTGTTTACAGTAAAGCAGTCTTAAACCTGCCTTTACTTTTCTGCAGATCAAGTCTATGTGCAATTCTCTCTAATACCACAAGGTGGAGCTACCCAGATAATCTCATTTTGCACTATTTAGTTCCAAACAGTGAAGCCCAGGGTTTTCCAAAACTTACTTTCTGGACGGCACCTTAAGACATGCAGCACCAGCTTGGGTCCATAAAACCACTGCCAGTCCACAGCAATCCATGGCATTATGTTCAATAGCGCCAGATAACGCATCTTTTCTTATAAGTGCACAGGGCAATAAGAGGGAGCAGGAGAGCAATAACATCAGAAGGTACAGCAAAGACTACCTGGCTCAGCTATCAGCCAGGCACAAAAGCCACTGCGCTGAAATACAGTACATGCAAAGTAGCTTCAGCAAAAGATCAGGTAATGCCTAACGATGCACTATTGGCTCCTACTCCTTCCTTCCCTTTTGTGTTATTTTCTTTTAGTTCTACTCCTTATTAATAAATCATTTTTCTGATGAGCAGAATTATCGCCTAGCTTGGCAGGACAACCCCACCTTTGCTCACAGAATCATGGCACTAAATAGCCTGACACTAATGAAACTTTTTTCAGTCTCAGTATATTTGAAAATGTAAGGCTTGGCCTGTAATTTCTTAGTGATAACTCTTTTACATAAGGTAAGAACTGGATATAAAAGATAGGCTCCCTGTTTTTTCTGCTATGTTTTCTTTAGTTCTCAAGTTCATAGGACTTGATTATAGCTGTTAAAATAATTCCAAAGTTTCTTAGCAAACTAATAGATATGCCCCCCTCCAAAAAAGCCATATCATTAAGGCAAAGATTTTCCCCACCTCCTCAACAAGTTCTGTATAGTCACGGGGAAATGTAAAACAAATTATTGAAAAGAATAACCTAAACTGTTTTCAAATCTGTTCCGTGTTCAATGGAACGTTAAAGATTTTTACAAAGTAACTGTTAATGTGATCAGAGTGGACGACTTTTTGAAGTTTGTATATCACTGCGTATGAAAACTGATTTTTTAACTGCAGTTTCAGAATACAGAAATTTAGGCTGATTCCCAACAAGTTATTTCATCTTAAGACATGCAGGTCCTGACAGTATTAACCGAACAGGAAAACATCTATTAAGGATCTTCTAACAATTATTTTCAAAGTTATGTTTTTTAATATGATATTTGATACAAAAAAAGTTTCTTTCCAACCTTGACTTTTCCCTAAGTAGTAACTGAAAACCATGATTACAGAATCAAATAACAAACTTTAATCTTTAGTACTTTGTTCCCAAGTAGTTATTCATGTTCTCACTTTAAGTCCCCTCTCAGACTGTTTCTATAGTATGAAATAAAAAAGGGCCCAGCCACAGGCTTGAATACTAGCCCAAGACAGTCCACATCTCTTAAGTATTAGCTTATTCCCTGGCTCTGTTTTGCTCCCTCCATAACAAACCTGTTCTTAATGCGCTAGCCCTCAGAACTCCTGACTGAGGCCAGTCAGTGTCTTGAGGTCAGGGGTTAGTCCCTGGCCCTTTTTCGTTTAGCAGTACAGATGCAGGCTGAAGGCAATGAACTTCACTCTGATGTCATCAGAAAAAGTAAGGTTGGTAGTATTTATGATCTTGTCTGACCTTTCATATGACAATAAATTTTGCTTTTCAGAGTTTATTTCATATTTTATGAGATGCAGAAAGAATTAGCAAAACAAAATATACCTTTTTTTAAATTCATCTCTGAGGTAGCTCCATTAAATTGGTGTTGTTGTGTATTGAGCTCTACGTATTTTCCATAAGCTCCTTTTTAATTATTTGAGAACTATCCCTCAGTTCACCTCTGAACCGCCCACATGACTTTTTGATAGCTACATTGTTATTCTGCTGGTCTCTTCAGCAAAACTCTGTTGTCTATTTTAATGAGTTTGGAAAATAACCCAAAATATCATACTTTGGCAGAAAAAAAAATCAGGACTCTGTTTAGAAAATTGTGCTTAAACCCAAACATTTTCGCTCCTCTCCCTATATAAGATAAAATGAATGGACATGCATCATGCTAACTATGAGCATGTCATATCAAGGTACTGCTCATTCCTATACAAAAAAACCTGTAACAAACAATTATTAAACTCTCAATTCCATCAAGACAAATTTAAGATTCTTCAGAGGACTATCTTTGATAAGAGTCTTCTAAAAATGGGATTAAACATATTGAAAGAATTTCTCTACCTTTATAAGCCAATCAAAATGCAGAAATCCCCCAAATTTGAATAATTAAACCTTGATTCTACAAGTAGCCTCTGAAAACTCACTGATTTCCTCCAATATCCTAAAGTCTGCAGATTCACAAGGCTTGGCTCTCTGGCTGTTCTACAGCAGTTAGTGGCAAGATTGCTCCCTTCCATACGAAGCATGATATTCACTGAATTTGTTGTCTTGGGACTGGCTGTTTCTCAACATCTCCTTTTGTTTTGAGACACACGATAGGCATTGGCTTGCATGTTTGCACCCTGATCAATATTCTAGTATAGAATACTGATATCTGCTCTTCTTTGACAGATAAAAGGAGACTGTAGGAACAAATATCATTTCTCAAGGGTAGGAACAGAAAAAGGAAATTGAACAGATTTCATTCTCGTGGAATGGGCCTTGGCTTTCAGAAGTTTAGCAGAACTGAAAGGCTTGTTTCTTTTTTTTAAATAATGAGCATTACAATTCAAAAAGTATTGTACTTCCTACCCCTCCTTGGTCTTCTAGATGTTCTTATTTTTTAAGTTTCCAGAATAACGTTTGTAGTTTTTGATAGCTACACAAATTTGGCATACGCTAGCCTATATAAAAAAAATATATCTGAAAAACAGACAACTAGAGATGTATACACTGTTTATATTACCTGTAACATATCACCTGCATGTACTGCTCACTTACTATTATTGTTCTTGCTCTATCCTTACAAAATTCTGTCTCTAAAAGGAAAATATTTAAACTACATGAAACTTAGATCTTAAGCCTACAAACTTCAGGTGCTTCCTTCAAGAATGCAAATAATCCTCTTCTTAATTTAAGTACATGAATAAAATCTCTAATATCAACTGAGGTCTCGTATAACTAACAACTTGCAGCCCCGTGCTCTCATTTGCCTATCGAGAGAAATTCTATCCCTAGAGAAAAGTTGTGCCCATGCAACACACTCTTCCTGATAGTTTCAAAAAAAAGACATCAATACATTTCAGTGAGGACTTGGCTGAGAACGTTTTAAAACATGTTTTCTCCTCTACCCTGCTTTTGCAGACAGTCATGGCATAAGAAGTCTCTCTAAACACATCTCTTGTTGGAAGGAGCCTAGGATAGACAAGAGAGACAGGCAAGACTGGTAAAATTAAGCAGCAAACTGTTCCAATGCTTTTCCAAACTTGCTGGTTCCCTAACTTTATTCAACTTTAGGGGCAAGAGAAAACCGTATCACCTGACATTGAAATGAAAAGGGAACAGCATCTTTTGCTCCTGTAGGCAGGTTCTTCCTACAGATGAGAGTTCAGGACACTATGTATCATAATTCAAAACATGCTTTTAACTCTTTGTGTCATTTTTAAAAAATGCAGTCTGAGGACAAATTACAATCCTTGTGCTAGACACAAGAATTCTATATTATATCTAATATTAGAGCATACATCAGCAAATAAAGGGTTGGGTTTTTCTCTGATAGCCTCTATTTTTTTAACAGTAGCTTGCTAATTTAAAGTTTTAAAGGAAAAAGGTACCAACATATTTGAAACTTTTTAAACCATCTTTTCAGTCTAAAAACAGAAAACTATAAGTCACCTGAAAATCACTGACCTTTTCTAATTTTTCGAAGTGTTCTCTGAGGAATTTCATGGGTCGGTCTGGCTTTGCTATGCAAAGATTTACAATGCACTCTTTTAGAATCTGTTGGATGTTGTGCTTCTGAACATAAAGTTCACATCCCTTCAGGCTCTCATCTTCTTCCACATTGCAGGAAGAAGCAGCAGCCATCTTCAGGCTTGTAAACACAAAACAAACCCAGGTAAGAAAATGGTGCAAGAAAGAGAAAAGAGACAAACCTCAAATCCGTTACCAGAGAACTCTGAAAGAAATAAGGTGTTTTAATATTGCCTGTTGGCCATTCAAGAGCTATCAATTCCTGACATTTTAATATTCTGGGACTTGTACGTGGCAATACTGAACCATGTCATCTTTGTAAGAGCAACACATAAGTATAAATAGAGCATTTTAATTACTAGACTTTGGAAATAACGGTGCAGTTTATCGTACAGAGCCATGAGTTTCAAAGACAGTCATTAAATGCCCGTTCAAAGCCTTGTGTTTCTATCCAGCTGTAGACTGCCTCCCCTTCACCAGAAACCTAGATTTCTGTAACACCAGAAGGATTTGGGGCTCGGGTAAGTTGTAGCACCTCCCCGTTTAAAAACGAACCACCCTTCCCCATCCCTACCGTGGCAGGGAAGGAGGGGGCAGATCTGCGCCAAAGGTCAGTTCGGTAATTGAGGAAAAACCCTCTCTAATTCCGCCGGCGAGCTTGTGACCGCTCACTGCGGAACACAAAGGCATGTTTATGGCGACGACGCTTACTGCCGAATAGCTTCTACTCTCGCTTAAAGCCGGTTATTTCCAACGTCTCCCAGCTCTTCCCCCCTCTTCCCCTTCAGGGCACCCCGGGTATCTGCTGGCAGCATTCAGGGGTGTCTCAGGGCAATTTAAACGGCAGAGGAGCGCGGAGGGGCGGGCGGCAGCGCCGCAGCATCCCCCGGGCAGGCCGGGGAAATCCTCCTCCTCCTCCTCCCAGCGGTTCCCCGCAAGGGACTTTCTGGAGCCTGCCCGGCTCGGGGCAGGGCTGCGCGGGGGCCC